TATATATATATATATATATATGGGTTCAAGTCTCTACATTATAACAGCAGATTATCAAGGACAAACTGACCAGAGTAGTAAGGATAGTAGCAATATCAATCGTAGTAGGAGAGACGATCGGTGTAAAGAAGAGGAAAGAATGAGGGATAAAAGCACAAGATCAGTTGAAAGCCTGTAATATTGTGACCAATTCTCAATTGAGTCACTCAACATTGCATGTGCACCTACCGACAACATGGTTCAGTTCAATAGTCAGTGAATTTGTGAACCGAATACATGTCTTGGTTCAGTCAGTCAGTCAGTCAGTCAGTTGCAACGTAGAACTTCGTACGTATGTACATAAGTTCATGTTGCCATACCACATTATTAGCACAGAGACGCAAATGTCAAATCAAATCCCATGGTGATAAAGATGGTAGAGGTATTAATGTTATAATAAAGAAGACTAGGGTTTAAGATATTATTCAAAAAATATAATTCAGTGAGATAAGGTTAGAAAGACAAAGGTAGAGGTGCTGGCTAATCAAGAAGATTAGGATTTGAGAGAGCTCAAAGAGTGGATGCACCTGCGCCATTGCAAACGATTTTGAGCCATGTCGTTCAAGGTCTCTAACCATTGATGACTTTCGTCTCGCGGACCCCAACCAGGTAGTCTACATCTACCAACATGACTCAGTCCACTTGTCAGGGACTTCATGGATTTCTGCCATGTTTTGGTCTGGCCGCCCCTAGCTTTCTTCCAACCTACTCCTACACCACAAAACATAGCTCGTCGAGGCAGTCGGTGGTTAGGCATACGTAACACATGTCCCAACCACCTCAACTGATGAAGTTTCACCACTTCATCGATTGATCTGCCATCCTTACCTAGTACTCGTTTCCTAACGACAGCATTGCTTACTCGGCTGTCCCACGATATACGAGCGATGCTTCTTAAACATCTATGATCGAATACTAGTAACCTACGAACATCTTCTACTCTTAACGGCCATGTTTCACAGCCATATAAGAGAACGGAACGAACTGCTGCGCAGTACACCCGCCCTTTGGTTAGCGAACGGATATCACGCCTACGCCATAAGTGACGCACGTTGGCAAAAGCCAATCGAGCTTTCTGTATCCGAGCTGAGATTTCGTCAGTCACCAGACCGTCAGCACTGATGAGGCTCCCCAGATAAGTGAAGTGATCAACACGCTCGATTACTTCACTCCCTATCACTAGTTCAGGTGCCGAAGCAACCCAGTCTTGAAGCAACATTTTGCATTTCGAGGGGGAAAACCGCATCCCGAACATGCTCGCATTGTTGCTTATGGTACTCAGAAGACTCTGCATTTTGTCAGCGTCTTCACCGAATAGAACTATGTCATCGGCATATTCTAGATCAGTAAGCGACTTTCCTGGTAGAAGGTCAACCCCTGAAAAATCTGACGAGCTTAATGTTAACTCTAAGAGGATGTCTACGACAAAGTTGAACAAGAATGGAGAGAGTGGACAGCCCTGACGGACACCACTTGATGTAGAGAATTCAGATGACAGTTCGCGATATGCTCTCACCCGACCAGTGGTGTTCGAGTAGAGTGCTTGTATAAGGTTAATGTACTTCTTTGGTACACCTTTCAATGACAGACACTGCCATAGAACCTCACGATCCACTGAGTCGAATGCCGCCTTAAGGTCCAGGAACACGACTATCGTCGGACGTCTAAATGTGTGTCTGTGTTCCAGGACCTGTCGTAGTGTGAAGATGTGGTCTATACAACCACGTCCAGGTCGAAAACCAGATTGGTTTTCTCGAGTCTGCTCTTCGCGAGCTCTAGTTAGACGTCTAAGTATAATCGAGGCTAACAATTTAGAAACTATATTAGTTAAACTTATTCCCCTGTGATTGTCACAAGAGGACTTCTGTCCTTTCTTGTAGATTGGGACAATTAGCGACTGAGACCAGTCAGATGGGATTACGTCCATTTCCCAGATTCTACCTAGGATCTCGGTCAGTTTAACCGTTAAAACTGGACCACCATCCTTAAACATCTCAGGGGTAAGCCTATCGGGACCTGCCGCTCTACCTCTCCTTAGATTTCCTATAGCTTTCTCAACTTCATGTAAACTGGGAGGACTTAAATCGATTTGCCATTCAGGATGACTGGAGATCGTGGGCAACCGAAGAGTGGCTGAAGGCCAGTTGAACTGATCCCTAAAGTGTTCTGCCCATCGGTCCAGCCTCCTAGATTGAGAATGGATAATAAGACCATCCTTTTCCGAGATAGTCTCACTCACATTCGGGTTCCTAATACCGGTTTCTTTGATAAGGCGGAAAAGTTGTCTACTGTTGCCTATCGCCGCTGCCTTTTCCATCGCTTTTGCTTTCGCCACCCACCACTGTTCACGGTCGTTACGTAGGCTTTTTATAAGTCTGCGCCTAAGTTGAGTACGCTCTTCATCATGTTCAGAGTCAGGTGGGATGCGTTTTCGTGCATCCATCAGTTCGGTGGATGCGACTGAAATCCACGGCTTCATCCTAGGCTTATGGTTTACCTTGCTAGCAGATATCACTGCTGTTTCCACAGCCTTCTTTATATCATTCCAACCTGACTCCGGATGGGAATCACTTGCATGATCGCCTAACTGTTTTTCTAGTTCCTCCTGAAATATTTTCTTAGCTTGATTATCATCAAGTAAAGCCCTAAGAGGCTTCCTTACGGTGTCTTTCCTACGTCCAGCAAGCCTCAAACAAATACGAGCTCACACTAGGGCATGATCTGAATCTAAACATGTGCCCCAGAACGAGCGACAGTCCTCTATCGAACCCCTCCATCGGTGGCTGCTGGCGATGTGATCTAGTTGTGTCCAACGTTGAGACGACTTCGGGGGTCGCCAGGTCAAAAGGTGTCTTTCCTTATGCTTAAAATTAGTGTTTGCTAGAAATAGTTGGTTATCTGAGCACAGTTGCAACAGACGGTCGCCATTGTCTGTTCTTTGAGCCGCGAGACCGTAACATCCACCTAGGTGTCTTTCATTTTCACTTAGTCTACCTACTTGTGCATTGAAGTCACCAGCCATTATAACTATATCAGAGCGCTTAACTTTTTGGAGGAGGTCCGAAAGCTTTCTGTAAAACTCATCTTTTACATCATCTGGGCTGCAGTCAGTGGGGGCGTAGGCTGATATGACGAAGAGGCAACGGCGAGTGTCCCTATCTTTCCGAGTCCTTACTGTCCCGTTGAGTCGGACGGCGCACAAGCGACTATCTACAGGGATCCAGTCAAGGAGAGATTGTTCTGCCCTACGACTCAATGCTATACCTACACCGGCGAGGCCCCTAGAAGCAGCATCAGGGCTACCGGATACACGAAGGGTAAATCGAGCTGCTTCTTTATCTTGACATGGTGAGGTCAAATGAGTGATGCTACTCGGATCCTGTATGCGCGTTTCCGAGACGCAGCACACATCGATGGAACGAGATTCTAAAGTCCTAGCTAATGACGCCTGTTGCCCTATTTGACACAATGTCCGTACATTGAATGCTGCAACATGTAGTTTGGAACGGGGTTTGAGGAGACCAGGAACGACGTTTCGCAAACTCGCATCGTTTGCATTAGCTGTGCACTGTAATAAATGAATGTGAGAAGAGTTAGTTGTGGAGATAAGAGAGGTATTAGGGAATGTAGGAAGGATTTGATTTTGAACAATTTTGTCTCGTGTGCTGTTGCGGGTATGAGGGCGGTTATCACTTCCCGGCTGCCCACACCGTGGAAGGTTGTTTCTTGACGAACCTGAAAAGGAAGATGGATTAGTGTTGGTGCGTGACCGCAGAGCCCAAGGGACAACTGCTTGAGGCCGGTCACGCACGGCCTTTTTATGAGAGGTATTTAGAGGATTAGCTCCGTTCTTAAAGGCCCTTAGTGGGCACCCTTACCCAAGGAGACGGAAATCCGTGAGGTAGGGGAGGTGTGACATTTTTAGGGCCGACCTTTTCTAACCCTTCCTTCCTTGTGAGAAGGCAGCATCGCTGCAGATGCTGGTCGTCCGAGGGAAACACCTTACTGCTGTCACACCCCTCTGCAGTCAGCAGTACGACTTCGCCCTCAGACCTTGGGTAGCTGCTTTTAGTCTCATCGTTCTCCAATCGACCTGCCTGGCATGGTAGGACCTGCAGGAACATGTGTTCCAGCCAGTATAGCTCGGTTGGGTCATCACGATAGGCAAGCCCGACCACCACGTCAAGGTAGCAGCTTCGGTCGGGATGTCTTGGTTCAACAGAACTAGAAAAGGGAAGCCCAAGGACAGAGTAGGTTGAAGAATACTGGTCGGTGGCCTATGCTCCATCTGGGGATAACAGGCGTAAATAAGTAAGAAGTATGCTGAATCAAACAGAAATTCTATCTTATTTTTCTGTATAATACAAATCAATCAGCAAAGTACTTCCATATGCTTGAAATTACTATCATTGAAAATCCGAAAGCACTTGGTAGTCATTTTTAGCCTAGAATGGAATTCTTCAACAGTTTTTATCCATGACTCTATTATCCAGGAATCTCAGTGATGTGCGCGAACGATTGATTCACCACCTCTAGACCACTGAGCTGTTCAGTGCGTTCAAGTTTTCAATGGTCATCTAACAATTAGAATTAGTTCGGAGTGTTAAAATCACCCACAGCCTTGGTCTTCTTGCTCAGACGGACATCCAGAGCTTTCAAGTTCTAATGATACTCTAACATCGATCGATGATTCATGATTTCAAAAGAATAACTCAATAATCTTCACAACCTTATTAAGAAATATATATATATATATGTATATATATATATATATATATATATTTGCAATTAAAATACAAACTTTCATTGTATTTTTTTTATAAATTCATTAACGCACAAGACCAAGGGTCCTGGGTTCGAATCCTGAGAGTGACAGGAGTCGTCAGCGCGCATTGCCACTAGTGAATCCCAAATTATCATTAAATAATAATAATAAAAAAATTTTTATCTTCAACTCTTACCGGAAGCAATCGAAATGAATCACTGATACCACGATTACATAAATAATTATCAAGATAATTCCAATTTAATATAACAGTTGAATCACTAGTGAAATTTGTATTGTATGTTACATAAGATTTTGCATCTGGAACTTGTAATGCATAAGAGTAAGTGATTTTAATTAGTTTATCGATTTCTCTACAAGGTAAAAAGAAAAACACAACACAATAGGAATATGAGAATCATAATGACTGAATACACGTTGAAATCATTAATCAATCATTGTTAGATCACCAGTGGATAGCTGGAAGCTCTGGAAGACGACCATTTCGTCCTGGTATAGGACTCGTCAGCAGTGCGCATCCATGACTCCTGGCATCTCGCAGGATTCGAAACCAGGACCTTCGGTCTGGAGCTTAATCTCTAGAGCCGGCCATCAATGGTGTTAATATCTAACACTGACCAGTCTAGCGATTTTGCTATACCTCACACATTTGTCTTTGGTAGTTACTGTGTACACCCGATAGGGTTGAACTCCACTAGTCATGTCTTTTCACTAGAACTTCGAGAATTTCCTCACGAAGCTAGTCACTAGTGAGCGCATTGTGCAATTTTCTCAATTACTGAATAGTTTTGTTTAATCGTAAAGCTAAGCTGTTAATAGTGAATAGGAATTAGGATGTTAGAAGTACATATTGAATTGAGAACTAATGCAACTAAACATAATACTATTTAAACAAAATACAATAGTCTTTATATTCCTTAATTTTTGAAAAAACTATCTATCATTATATATAACTCATTCATCCAACGAATGGAGTTACATATCAATTTACAAGGAATATGGATATCATCAGTCTGGTTGAAACGAAGTAGATGCAGAAGGGGACTATGCAGTTGAAAACCAAATGCTTTAACAACTAAGCGCCATCGTATATGTATGATTGTGGCAGCATTATTGAGGAACAAGGTGGATTTGATGCAGATATGAAGGTGCGAATCGGCAAAACAAGGGCAACATTTCTACAATTGAACAACATTTGCATCTCGAAACAACTTTCAACCAAAACCAAAGTCACAATTTTCAATACAAATGTCAATAGAGTTCTACTGTATGGAGCGGAAACTTGGAGAGATACCAAAGCTATCATACAGAAGATACAAGTGTTTATTAACAGTTGTTTGTGTAAAATACTCCAGATTCATTGGCCAGACACCATCAGCAACAACCGACTGTAGGAGTGAACAAACTAAATTCCAGCCGAGGAGCACTGTAGGTGGATAGGCCAAACATTGAGGAAAGAACCCAACTGTGTCACAAGACAAGCCCTGACTTGGAATCCTCAAGGTCACAGGAAAAGATGAAGACCAAAAAATACATAACGCCGAGAAATGGAGACACACATGCGAAGAATGAACAACGATTGGATAGAAATGGAAAGAAAGGCCGAGGATAGAGTAGGTTGTAGACTACCGGACGAAGGCCTATCCATCGTTCGGGGTAACAGACGTAAGTCAGTAACATAATGATGATAGAAACGATGAATATTTGTTTAGAACAATGGTTTTTGATGCAGTTGGATTTATGAAACACAAAAAATTGCACTGCTAATGTTGTCTATAAAGACAATGGTGGATAGGGTGGTCAGTAAAACTATACAAATTATCTCGGTAGCTTAAACCGTATCAGTTGATGGGACAGTGAAACTAATTTTACCTAATCTTACTACGATTATCGCTAGTCAAATAAAGAATTATTTTACCGATTTATTCAAACACATTATCATAGGTACATAGTGGAGTTTAAATATTTATTTGTGTATAGGTTGGGATAATGTCCGGAAACTCAAATAAAACTCCACGAGCCTTTGACCTATAGATCCAATCCAAAAACAGAGTGAAGTAACGTCAGGAGAAAAGCAGTTCTATTGTAGACGGTGACCAACAAAAAATTCAAACAGTGTTTGTTCCCTCAGCATCTCTTGAAGCCAATGCACATTATTGGTTTTTAATTAGGGTTGCCAAACTCTCATGGGTAGGTCCTTCGTAGCTACTAGACTTACGTAAGTGCTGGACATCCGCTTTTTTGTCCTCTAACTTTCTTAAACAACATGCCTACCGGGAGAAAGTGGTGGTGAGTTAGACATCACTGGTCTCACTTACTTACTTACTTACTTATGCCTGTTACCTCTAATGGAGCATAGTCCGCCCACCAGTTTTCTCCAACCAACTCTGTCCTAGGCATCCTTCTCCAGTTCTGTTCAATTTTTGTTCATTCCTCTCATATCTTTCTCCATTTCCTTCCTTGGCCTTCCTCTTTTCCTTCTGCCTTCAGGGTTCCATGTGAGGGCTTGTCTCGTGACGCAGTTCGGTGCTTTTCGCAGTGTGTGTCCTATCCACTTCCACCGCTTCTTCCTGATTTCCTCCTTTATTGGAATCTGGTTTGTTCTTTCCCACAGTTCGTTGTTGCTGATGGTGTCTGGCCAACGAATACGAAGTATTTTACATAGACAATTGTTAATAAACACTTGTATCTTCTGGATGATGGCTTTGGTAGTTCTCCAAGTTTCCACTCCATACAGTAGAACTGTCTTGACATTTGTATTGAAAATCCTGATTTTCGTGTGTTGATTGATATATGTCCGGTCGGAGTTCCAGATATTTTTCAATTGTAGCAAACGCAGCCCTTGTTTTTGCCGATCCGCTCCTTTATTTCTGTATTAGGCGATAGATAAGCCAGGTCATCTGTGAAGTTCAGATCATTCAACTGCATCCTAGCTATCCATTGAATACCGTGTTTCACTGGTCATATAAGAGCATTCTCCAGAAATAGACCCAAACTCTCTCTCTCTCTCTCTCTCTCTACATTAACCCGAAACCATGACATTCACCACGAATACATTTTATGAATAGTAATGAGATAAAATAGAATACTATAAATTAATTAGTTAAGCGAATAACAATGACGAAAATAACAATCATAATAACAATCATAGCAATAACAATAATAATAATAATACAAACACAATTATTATCATTAAACCAACCGATAACTTGTCACACCAATTGAATCTTCATCCAACGAAATTAAATGAAATAAATGCCCAATACTTAATTTACGCGTAGTTGTTGTCTACAAAAACACACACAAACAGAGAGAACAAGAGAAAGACATAGAGAGAGTGAGTGAGTGATTGAGTGAGCAAGTGAGTGAGGAGTGAAGGTAGAAGACAGATGAGAATAGGCTTTCTTGTTTTCGGGGAGCATTTTTTTTCGTTGTTGTATTTTTGCTAGCTAAAGAAATCATCAAAATTCCTTTTTTTAAACAATAACACAAAATAGCATTTGATAAATTGTAAACAATAATAATAATAATAACGACAATAGAAACAACAATCACTGTAGATAAGTTTTGAATTATTATTCGCAATAATAAATTGATAAATACGGATAAATAAGAAAAAAACTTATCAAACATTAATGCTACTTGCTTATACACAATGCACAATGTAATTTCATTGTAAAATAAAGCGATAATATACTACAAAAACGAACTTCATATGGAAATCCTCCTTTGCACAACCGCATAATTCAATCGGTCATGTGACTAGAGATCCGTGAGGAAGTTTCTCCCGATTCCAGTGGGGTTCAATTCTGTTGGGTGTGAGTGAGATGTAGTAGTTATCTAACGAAGATAAATGAGTGACGTTGGATGCCGGCCGGCTGGCTGGTTCTGTATTCCAGAGGTTAGGCATTCGTGTGCAAGATAGAAGGTCTTGTTGGGTTCGAGTTCTGTGAGTAGCAGGAGTTGTGGATGTGCACTGTCACTAATGAGTCAGTCCTATACCAGAATAAAATGGCCTCACTTTCTTCAACTCACACGCTTCTCCACAGATACTCTTAGCATACAAGGTACCTCCTCCTGGCTAAACGTAAACTAACCAACGACTGAAGTTACAAATCATTAAGATCAATAAGGCACTGAATGACTTTGTTCGTTTAAGTATGAAACTCATCAGTTATGTTGATGTAGTCATATCTCTAAGATAATACATTTGTCCAGCATTCTAGTGACTTTCAATGTTTGTCTAACTAAACATCTTTGGTGACTCAAAGTATCATAAAATATCCCTAGACTCTATACCAGTATAGTGGATGTTGCTTACAAGATAGTGATGGCAATTTTTTTAGTGGATTTCCACTCAGAACTTCCTATCAGAGAGCTAAATGCAAAGCCAGAATTGCGTAAAATCGTTGCAATCAAGTAAAATACCAGTAGATAAACTCAACGATTGGGTTAAGGTGATGGAGGTAGTAGTAGTAGTAGTAGTAGTAGTGTGGTGCGCGCTACTTATAAGTAGTATATGACGTGAGTGTCAACGTAATGTCTGGCAGCAGAAGATGGGGGAAGATCAAGAAAGGAAGAGTGGGAACACGATGGAATTTGTGTATGAAACGCATGAATAAGTGAAATGTCAGACAATGGATTGAAGATTTGCAAATTAACGATTTACGATATGGTTTTCCTATTTTACTGAGTGGTAACTCTGTAATTTTCGTTAAATACAATTCGGTTGCCCTCACCTGTGTTCTCCTTCACTACAGCACTGTCACTAATGAGTCAGTCCTATACCAGAATAAAATGGTCTCACTTTCAATGCTTCCAGGTTTTTAATATTGGTCTAACAATCATTGATTCGTGATTTCAGTAATATAATAAAACTATACAAATTAATTAATCTAAACGGTTACAAATAAGAGTTACAAAATAAATTTACGATAAACAAAAAATCAAATCAAATCAGCTTGATAACGTAATTGTAGTTGTTTTGTACTAAAATTACAACTACCTACATTGAACATTTTTAGTCTGTATGATTGTTTATGAATAAGTTGTTTGTTTAAATTGGCATTATATATTCAATGTCCAAAATTAAGGTTTTGATGGCTTTTTTGTGTGTGTATTTCTGGCGTAGATTGGTGGAGTATTTATTTTATTCGGAATGGATTTCTTAGCTGATTTTAAGACTGTAACAATCTTTTTTGACCAGACACTTCACTTGATAGCAACCTATAGGAAATGATGAATTCGTTGAGATAAGTAAGGTGGTAAACGTACTCAACTAGACTTTACTGCCTAACATTAGTTTAGGTACTCAGATGGAAACTTTCAGATACTTAACCTTTGAATGGAAATGTCTCTTAGTAAGTCAGTCAGACAGTCAGTCAGCAACAAGGTAGAACTTGGTACGTACGTACATCAATTCAAGTTGTCATACTACATTAGTACAGAGATGCCATTGTCGATTCGAATCCCATGGTGATAGATGTAGTAGATGTCCCGACTGTAGCTGCTACCTTGACGTGGTGGTCGGACTTGCCTATCGTGATGACCCAACCGAGCTATATTGGCTAGAACATATGTTCCTGAAGGTTCTACCATGCCAGGAAGGTCGATTGGAGAACGATGAGACTAAAAGCAGCTACCCAAGGTGTGAGGGCGAAGTCGTACTGCTGACTGCAGAGGGGTGTGACAGCAGTAAGGTGTTTCCCTCGGACAATCAGCATCTACAGCGATGCTGCCTTCTCACAAGGAAGGAAGGGTTAGATAGGGTCGACTCTAAAAATGTCACACCTCACCCTACCTCACAGATTTCCGTCTCCGAGGTAAGGGTTCCCATTAATGGCTTTCAAGAGCGGAGCTAATACTCAAAATACCTTTAATAAAAAGGCCGTGTGTAACTGGCCTCAAGCAGTTGTCCCATGGACCCTGCGGTCACGAAACCAGGTCTCTAGGACCAACACTAATCTACCTTACTTTTCAGGTTCCTCAAGAAACACCCTTCCACGGTGTGGGCAGCCGGGAACTGACAACCGCCCTCATACCCGTAACAGCACACGAGACCAAATTGGTCGAAATCAAATCCTTCCTACACCCACACATACCTCTCTTCTCTCCACAACTAACTCTACTCTCACTGCACCGCTAATGCGAACAATGCTAGTTCATGAAACGTCATTCCTGGTCTCTTGAAACCCCGTTCTAGATGTAGTAGAAGTATGAACAGTAGTCGGAAAGATTAAGATTTGACGATATTATTCAAGGGGTTTATTCGGGTGAAATAAATTTAAGAAGAGAAACATGAAGGTCATGAGGAATTCAGATTAGAATTTTGGAGAACACAAAGAATGGACGCACCTGCGCAATTGACGGACAGACAGAGACAGATACAACGCAGAGTTTCGTACGTAAGTACATCAGTTCATGTTGCCATACCACATCAGCACAGAGAAGCAACTGTCAGTTCCAATCCAAGAGTGATAGTGATAGTAGAAGTATTAGCAGTAATGGAGAAGATTAGGGAGCGAAGATATGATTCGAGAAGTATAATTCAGTAAGATATAAAAGGTCTCGTTTTATGAAGGAGAGTTAACGTACAGAAAACAATGTTACCACATATAGGTAATCCTGAAATTCTGCAATCTTTGGATACATTCGGATAAAACATAATCAGCTTCCTACTAAACTTTTCTTGAAAGCATCCAAAGAATGTTGTATAATCAAAGAATTGACGATATTTTCTCGGGCTTCTGGAATTGAACCCATGACCTTCGATCTCGTGTGTGACCGCTTAACCTCCAGATAACTGAGCAGACATTCAAGAGTGTTAATCAATCCAAAGTATTGCGCAACCTCATTCATTGTCTTCGGCAAGTAACTGCCTCATATGCGATAGGGTTGAACACCATGGGTCACAGTTTCACACTAGAACTCTGAGAATCGCTTCAAGCAGCTAGTGAACCCATGACAATTTTCATTATGGGGTTGTGGAAATGATGGAATTTCATTAAAATCAAAGTCAGACACTAACAATGTTGGATTCTGGCTCAGTGGTCTAGAGGTTAAGTGTTCACACGCCAGGCCATAGGTTCTCAGTTCGATTCGCGCTCACGAGGTCGTAAATACCCATTGTTGATTAGTCCCAAAATCGGACAAAACAGTCGTCCAATACTTCCAGGCTTCTAATGCTACTGGTCTAACATGGATCGACTCATAATTTCAAAGGAGTATCTCTTGTTTCATCTGTCAACATGAACTTTGTATTGAAATTAGAATTTTAAAAAAAACGTAAGTGATAAATGAGAGCAAAATTAAATCACACAAACCATAGTGATCATAGTGCAGTTATTAGAAAAATCAATGTGTGGTTGGTTATGTGTGCTACACAATTTAACCAAGGAAGTGAAAAAAAAACTTGTTTCAGATTTCAAATGAACAAAGATCATTCATTTATCAATGTGTATTGAAGAGGCCAGATATATGAATTTAAAAATGTATCATAAGGTATACAGACCTAATATAGTCCAAATGTTTATCCAGTTAATAAAAACCTAGTTATTTGACATTTATTATCTTAGTGGTCTCATCAACCATCAGAACAAAGTTCATTAAGTTTGGTTAGATTAAAAAAAAAACTACAGGATTTTCGAGAATACATGTAACGACGAATAATGAAAAGTATGAGTTTTGAATTTTAAAAGAAGGATATTTTATTTTCAGTACTTAAAACTTATTCAAAGTAAAATTTATTAACTACTGACTAGCTTCATGAGGAAATTCTCAGAGTTCTTAGTGAGAATCGGTGATCAGTGGAGTTCGATCCGTGTCAGATGTGAAGCAGGTACCCATTGGAAACCATGAATGAAGTCGTACAATATCTTGAATTTATTCAAGTTAGACTTTGACACTACTGGATGAGGGGCTCAGTGATCAAGAAGTTAAGCGTTCGCTTGTGAGACCGCAGGTCTTGGGTCCGACTCCTGCATGTGATTGTCGTAAAAGCGCACAACTGATGAGTACCAATCTAGGATGAGACAGCTATCCAATGCTTGCAGGCTTCTAATGGTGGCCTAAAATTGATCGATTCATGATTTCAATGAGTTCTTCACACACAATAAAGTAATCCCAGCAGTATATTTGAACTCATGATATTTTAAAACTGCAAAATACTTTATTGTAACTCAATTTATAATCTTAACATTTTTAATCATCTGAAATTAGTAAAACAAACTCTTGGATCTATTGAAAATCCAGCACACTAACAAACATCACCTTTTAATAGATTGCAATCA